TGGCGGTCAGCGTTGCCCCCGTCTCTGCCACCCTACAGCATTTGGCTACTGGGCTCCCCTCTACCTTTATCAAGTAGCGGTAAGACAGCAGCAGGAGGGCCTTGACCTTTTTCCATTGCCCATTTCTTGCTTCAGCAAGAAAGAGATGTCTCAACCGTCATTCAGGCAACCACAGGGGATAAAGAGCTCCACTGTACATTTATGTAGAGGAGGACATTGACATATGCACGTACCAAAACACAAAGTGGAGCCAGATCAGACAGAATAACATAGACCTGCATACTCAGAAAAGACCCATTCTCGCACTGTCACAGAAGTTAACCCCAAGCTCCACCCCAAGGGCCCTCCTCAGGGCTCAGGTGTGTTATTCCCTATTACCCCAGCTCCCTTGACCATGCCAACAACCCCCGCCTGTCAAAAATCAAAGGAAGAGGAGAGCAACGAGGAGACTTGGCTAAACAGGCTGGAGCCTGTTGTCATTCGGTGCGGAAACCCTGTGACGCTCAATCCTATTTTCCTGCAACTCTCACCACCTCCCAGAAAATAATCAGCCACTGGGCTTTAAGTGAGCAGAGTCTCCTTGGTCAGGGGACATCTGTCTAGGCGGATTACAACTGAAATCTTACTTATAATGGCCAGTGCAACGTTCTGTCATCCATACACTTCCATGGACAAAACACGAGAGTCCCAAAAATACATTTACAACCCTGACAAGCGCTAATTCTGCCCGGCAACCTCCTGGCACCTTGGGGGCCCCATCTGACAGTTCCCGACGTAGGAACAGAGGAGGCTGCGAGGCATTTCCATCCTTCACAATAGGCAACCGCCAGCAGCACACGCTTCCCCTAGCAGCGCAGAAGGGGCGACCAAAAGGAAAACGGTGAACAGCAGTTCTTTATGCCTGGACAACGCAATGCGTCGGAGCAGCGGGCGGCAGCAGCTCTGCGCTCTCAAAGCTCAGCACAGAGCCTTTCCAAATTTCTACTGGACAAAATTAAAGCATGACAAAGGCAGCACGTAGCTCACTGAAAGGCTGTGAAATACACTGAAAGACTGTAAAATACAACCATTCAAATTAAAAATCTTCCAGAAATATACAAAAAAAAAACCTTAAATTGGATTTAAAGGCAGTTAAGGCAACTTGTTTAGCAGGTTACTGCTGAAAACATTCAAATCCTTAAAAGGACCGTCCATTTCTTCTTTGACAATGTGTTTCCCAGTCATAGCATCAAAGCATCAAATCTTTTTGGTCCTTGAAGGTCCACGTTACACTGAGAAAAATCCTCCAATCCATAAAACATGTGCTGGCAACAAGGCAGTCACGACCAACACACAACCTTTACGATGCACCAACATTTGGACAGGGGAGCAGGTTTTGTTACACTAGGGACCTACAGCAGCCACCATTTGTGGCTTGGCACCTGCTCCAAGTCGCACAGAAACGTCTAACGCTTGTGTAACTGCGGCATAGTTTGCAACATGCAAAGCGCATACAGTTCCTCACTCTATTTTTAAAGTTATGGTTCGTGATTGAAGTCACATGCGAAGTGGTGGCAGCTGTAAGCGCCGCCCTAGAACTCTTTCTGCACGGTCACTGTTATCAAACGCACAAAAAGCGTGACTATTTGAGGACAGAAATACAGGGAGGACCACACTGCTTCTCATCTGATGGCGAAATCCGCTTTCCAGCTGCAAGAAGCAGATGACTTACCACCCAAACCGTGTCCTGAAGAGTTTATGATGCAACCGGAGCAGCCGAAGGGCAGGAGGAAGGAAGTGCTCTTAGAGGGGCAGATGTGGAAGGGAAGGGAAGAAAACTCCTGGGAGCCGGCCTACTCTGGAGGTCAGGGTCGCGGTGGGCTTTTAAAAGAAAGAGACATCTGCGCCGCTGAGCGTGGCCAAAAGGAGAGTCTGCGCTTTGTGCGAAGTTGGGGCCCTGAAGCAGCGGAGCACTGAGGGCACGGGGCGCCTTCATCGTTGCAGCAAAGCTTTCAAAACCACCCCAGGACAGATGCTGACATTCAGCTAACGCAATACTAAAACTTTCCGTCGGGAATCCCAGACTCAGCTCCGTTTGTATTTTGTAAATTCGGGGCATCAAACAAGGAAATAAAAAGGGTATCAGGTTGTTTTATTGCTATTGTGTCTGCCTGCAATACAAATATTCACACATTCAGACAAGGCATTTACAAAAAAAAATCTAGTTTGTATGTGTAATGTTCTTATGTGTACAATATACAGAAAAAAATCTACAAATAGAAGATAATTTAGAAACAAGTTCAAGAAGAAAAAAAGACACTCATGGTCAAACATAGCTATTTATTTTTTTCCTTATAAACAGCCTTCAGTTTCTTATTGAAAAAAACCTAGAATTTAAATATTTTGTCCCCACATACAACAATCTGTATACATTATTTACATCTCTCAAATAAACATGTTGCAGATTCTCAGACATTCAACTTTTTTTTTTTTTTTTTTTAAATCAAAAGCTGTTTTGATTTAAAACTAAAAATACCAATCAGTGACTACAAACTGAAGCAATATTGGCACAGTTAGCTTACAGTAAGGGTTCTCATCTCGCGTTTCAAACTTTACACCTTATTTTCTCCCATCTGTTTTAAGATTCTAAAGGAGGAGGAAAGGTTAGTGTTGCTTTTAGAGTATCTTTTTTGCCTTTAGAAACAGCTTTTTATTCAAACCTCATTCATTGTTACTGCATATCAAGGTATGTGCTTCTGCGGTATTAAGCAACACGATTTCAGCATACGGAAGTAGTAAAACAGCAGTGAAAATAAGCGTTCCCCCCGCGACATGTCTCTGAAAAATGTCAGAAGTTGTAAACGTACAAAAATAATGAGTATAGTTTAGTGGCTATAAAAATTAATTTCCCCTAAAAATACAATATTCTATGAACAATTGGGGGAGTTTGTTCCTAAAACAAAAATGTAATTTGATATTTAACTAGACTGCAGTCTTAACCTGGTTAAGAGGAAATCATAAGACAAGCAGGAAAATAAGAGGTTTTTACGCTTAGAATGACCAATGCTAGTCTCATAAGGTAAAGCATCCAGGAAAAGACGACAGGCAATCGTAAAACTGCTAGTGGTTTTAGTAAGCGCAGTTTGGAAAAACCTGACTGATGTTAGCGATGAAGGAAACAAGATTCAGAATAGCAGTGAGTCTTCTAAAGAAAGAAAAGCAAGGAGTCTGTACTCACACTGCAGCTTTGTAAGTAGTCCAGCTGACAGTGGGTGTTTTATATACAGTAATACAGCACTCTGGTAGGTAGGAAGGGGGAGAGGCTGGCAAGAAAAAAGAAAATTATCCAAAAGGATGCGTTTTTCAAGAAAACTGTGTGTGGCGATTCAAAAGGGCAGGAATGAGAAACAGGAAGGAAC